CCCTGCTGCCTGGCTCTCAGCCAGCGCCTCTCCTCCTCCCCACTTAGGTCCTGAGCATGAATAACCAACTGGTGACTGTGCGGCACCAGGCGGTGAATCGGAAGAAGGACAATCGCTTTGCGGTCTCCCTGGACTCGGAGCAGAACAACATCCACGTGAAGGACATTGTGAAGGTCATCGAAGGGTCTCATTCGGTGAGCCACCCCTCCACCAGGTCGGGGGTTGTTGTGGTTTGCCAGCAGCCGGTGCAGACAGCAGCAGAATTGGACAGTGGGGAAGAATGGGGACCAGTCAGGGAGCCTGGAGAGGACTCAGGCGAGGGTCCTGCGTCCGATGCAGAGATGGGGCCAGGACCATCTGGGAGTGGGGGGCTGCCTCTGGAACCTCCAGAATCTGGCAGCAGCGAGGCAGAGGAACAGGAGGAGCCTGTTCCCAGAGTGCGTGTGCACAGAGCTGCTAGAAGGCGAGAGCAGCTGAGACCAAGGGGGTAAAGCTGAGACTCAGGAGTAAGGCTGGGAGGTGATTGGCCCCTCTCATAAGGGATAAAAGTCAGGCCTCCATGATGAACACTTTGCAGGAAGCAAAGTTCAGTCTGTGCCAAGTCATCCTCAAGCTCTGTGTACTCTGGTTGTTTTTTTCCGGTACTTCAGTTCTGGTTTCTTTTATAGTTAATTGGAGACTTCTGTTTTTGGCAGCATTCCACAGAACTGAAAAGGCGTGTGCTTATCTTGGGGAACTGTTTATAATGAGTTCCGGCTGGGAATGAAAACAATTCCCAGCGTTGCAATAAAATAGGTTTTTCTTTTAAAGCAAGTTTGTGATTAATTGGGGTTTACGAAGCCTGTGTCAGAGCAGGCGCTGAGCTGTGTCTCAGTGGCTGCCTTCATCCCTTTCATGGAAAGAGGAACTGGGGGTGACATGGTGGCAGCCTTCCAGCCTTTGAGGGGCTGCCACAAAGAAGGGGAGGGGGGCGGGGGGCTCCACTTATTTCCCAAAGGAAACTCCCCAAGGAGAGAAGGAGCCTGGACCTCAGGGGAAACTTTGTGACCGTGAGGACAGTTAACCTGTGGAACAGCTTTGCCTTCAGAAGTTGTGGGTGCTGCACCCACTGGAGGTTTTTAACGAGAGGCCGGACAGCCACCTGTCTCTAATGGTATAGGGTCTCCTGCTTGGGCAGGGGGCTGGTCTAGAGGACCTCTAAGGTCCCTTCCAGCTCTGTGTTTCTGTTGCTCACCCCTGTGGTGTGGAGGGCCCAAATTCTGGTCCCCTGGCTCTGGGGATGCTGCAGTGGTTGTAAGTGTGAGGACCCTTCCTGTGCCAGGGTTTTTCCCCCCCCGGGGTTGTTGATGTGTAACTCTTGGATTGGTTGCTGGACGGGAGGGGTTGTGTAAGTCCAGGGGGGATCGTGACCCCCCTGTCGATCCTCCTGTCTCCTTCCAGGGCCGCGAGGGGGAGATTCGGCACCTCTTCCGGGGCTTCGCCTTCCTGCATTGCAAGAAGCTGGTGGAGAACGGAGGGATGTTTGTCTGCAAGACGAAGCATTTGATTCTGGCGGGGGGGTCCAAGGTGAGGCCGCCCCTTCCCCCTCTGGCCCTGAGCGACGCGCGGGGGAGGCGGGTCCATCCAGGGGAACTCGTAGGAGGAAAGCTTCACCCCAGGCCAGCCCTGTTAGCTTTCCCATAACTGGCCTAAAACTGGCTGGATCTGGTCCTTCTCTAGAGCTCTCCAAACGTGGCAACTTTTAAGACTTGTGAACTTCAACTGGCTGGAGAAATTCTGGGAGCTGAAGTCCAAGTCTTAAAAAGTTGCCAAGTTTGGGGACCCCTGCTCCAGGGGCTTGGATGTATGGGGGGGGAGGGGGGAAGGATGAGGCAAGCTGTCCGTGTAAGTCCATTATTGATGGATTGCCTTTATTATTTTAACAAACAACTCAGGGTGGCCAACATACCCCATACGCCTTCCTCCTCCTATTTGCCCCACGACAACAACCCTTTGAGGTGGGTTGTGCTGAGAGAGGGACTAACCCAAAATCACCCAACCAAGTGTCATGCCTAAGGCGGGACTAGAACTCGCAGCCTCCTAGTGATCAGCCCAAAGTCACCCAGTAGGTTTTCATGCCTAAGGCAGGACTAGAATTCACCGTCTCCTAGTGAAAAAGTCACCAAGCCACCTTTGGTGCTTAAGGTAGGACTAGAACTCATGGTCTGCTGCTTTCTATCCTGGCGACTTCCCCACTAGACCAAACTCAACTTCCTTTTGGCAGCCCCGGGATGTCACCAACGTCACGGCCGGTGGCTTCGTGCCCATGAGCCCACGGATGAACAGCCCTATGCACCCCAGCTCTGGAGGTGGGTAGAAGGAGAGAAACATCTCGGGTCTGGGAGGGGCAGGTCCCCCCCACCCTCCTTCCCCCCCCAGTGGGAGGGCAGAAATTTCAGCACCCAGAAGAAAGGGAAGAAGTTGGTGGGCCAAAGAAGAGGGAAGGCAATTGGTCCTTCCTAGCAGGAGGAGGCGGGCTAAAGAGGATTGACACTGACTCCAAATCTGTTGGATCTGAATTTGGAGGCCGCTGCGGCTCAATCCCCCCCACCCCCATTGAACTGGTTGTCCAGTTGCGGGTATCCAAACAGCACCCGGCCTCTGCATTGAGGTCCCTCCCCAGGAGTGATAACGTTGGTGCCCGTTTGAGATTGGCAGGACCCATCCAATGGCAAGAGGATGGGCGGAAAGGTCTTAGGTGGGCTACCCCAGCAGGAAGACGGAGGCGCCCAACGCCTGTCTTCAGCAAAGGGCCCCCATGCACACAGCCCCCTCCTCAAGGAGCCCACCTGGGAAGGCCCTGCCTCTTGGCACACCTGTTTCTTACCTTCTGCAGGGCCACGGGGCGGCTTTGGAGGGGGTGGAATGAACCGAGGCCGTGGGCGCAGGGATAACGACCTCATTGGACAGACGGTGCGGATTTCCCGAGGGTCTTACAAAGGTGAGGTCACCACTGGATGGTTGTTGTTTTTTTGGGGGGGGGGTCCACGGTGATGCAAACCACTGCCATTGTTAAGAGAATCGTATGGGTCTTAAGGGAATCTGACCTCCTCCCTTGGTTTTACCTGTCTGAAGCCAGCTGGGAAGGTTGCAAATGGAGGTGTTGCCCTGATCGCTCACCTGTAGCCAGGGGTAAAAGATCAGGTCCAAAAGTGAAGGTCCAATTAAGCAGATGCATTGCTACACGTACCTACCTGTAGGAATCTTCTCAATTAAAGTTAGCACCTGGAAGGACAGGTGGGCAATTGTGAACCCGTTATGACCTGTCAACTTCAGCCCACCTGTCTCCTGGGAGTTAGAAAAGCATCGACAGAATTGGCTCGTTTGCAGCTGTGTAGAGATTCCAGGCTGAACCCTCATTTAACGCCCACCCCGTGGAACGTCTGCGCTCGTTCTTTTTCCAGGCTACATCGGGATGGTCAAGGATGCCACGGAATCCACCGCCAGGGTAGAGCTGCACTCCACGTGCCAAACCATCTCAGTGGACCGGGAGCATCTGACGATCGTGTAAGAGCCAGATTTGAGATGGGGAGGGAGGGAGACCCCCCACACACACACACGCACACACATCAGCCCCGTGCTTGGTTTCAGAAACGCAGCTCTGGGCCAGACTCTGAACCCAGCCGAGGCGAATGAGACGATGTTCCGGCTTTATCGAGCCCAACTCATTCCCTTTCCTCCTTTTGCAGAGATTCCAAAAAGCCGTCCGGCATGCCCTCTGGCTACGGACGGACCCCCATGTACGGCTCCCAGACGCCAATGTATGGCTCGGGCTCCCGCACGCCCATGTACGGGACCCAGCACGACGGTGAGTAGGAGAAAGAGGGTGGCACACCCGTCTCTCTGGCCGGGAGAGGTCGGTGGGTTCCTTGGCCTATGGCTACCCCGAAAGCCTCTGCCACCCGTGGGGTGTATTTGAGCAACGAGGCTGTTGAATTCCCTAACCTGAGGACCTTGTGTGAGACGGTGGGCTGCCTCCAAATTGGCTGGCATCTGAGCTGGTGGGGCCCTGCCCCTTTAAGACCTCTCCCTTGCCTGCCCAGCACCAAGCAGCTATAACAGCCAGGCAGAAAAGCGCCTGGGTTTGGTGGATGATGTGGTTGTGGAGGAGGTGGTGATGTGTAGCAGTGCGGGTGGACGTCGTCCAACACAATGACAGACCAAAGAATAACAGATGTCTGTTTTTCAGGAAACCGGACGCCGCACTACGGCTCCCAAACACCCTTACATGATGGCAGCCGGACACCCGCCCAGAGCGGTGCCTGGGATCCCAACACCCCTTCGAGGTAGGACCTCCGGTCCGGTGGAGGGAGATGGGACTGGGGGAGTCCCGGCACAGGAGCTGGACTGGATCCTTGACTTCTTCTACAGGCCGGAGGAAGAGTTTGACTACGGTTTCGACGACGAGCCCACGCCTTCTCCCCAGGGCTACGGGGCGACCCCCAACCCCCAGACTCCAGGCTATCCAGACCCTTCGTCCCCGCAGGTTAACCCTCCGTACAACCCTCAGACGCCTGGAACCCCCGCCATGTAAGTGGACCGGCGCTGAGGTCCCTTGGCTAGCGGGCAGCCAACGGGTTGGTTGGCTAACCCAGGACAGGCCCCTGTGCCCTGACTCAGGGATCCTCCTCCTACAGTAGGGCTCTGTGTCAAGAGAAGAGAAGGGTGGAATGATGGGCTTCTCAGTGCTGTCTGAGCTGGGTGGCTTTTTTGGCAGATGGTTCATGACCTTAGCAGGGTTAGAAGGGAGTGGGGTTTGTGGAGGGAAGGAGGAGGAGGAGGAGGAGGAAAGGCAAGCAAGGGAAGAGGAACTCTATGGGGTTCTCAGCCCTTTTGTGGTTCCCTTGCAGGCATTTTGCTACCTAACTAGGTAACACGAGTGGGGTTGGTGAAGCAAAGGAGAAGGGGAGGAAGAAGAGAAGGAGGACTGTGGGGTCCTTGGTCTTTTCTGAGCCTGGTGGTTTTCTTGGAGGCATTTCATTTAGGGAACATGAGTTGGAGAAGGGAGTGGGGTTTGCTGCTAGCACCGACGATGTTCCCTAGTGTCATGAGAAAGAAAAGAAAGAAAGAAAGAGAAAGAAGAGAGGAAGAGAAAGTGAAGGAAGGAAGGAAAGAAAAGAGAAAAAGGAAGGGAAGGAGGGAGAGCGGAAAGAGAAATAAAGAAAAAGAAATGGGAGAGGGAGAGAAAGGGAGGGAAGGAGGGAAGGAAAGAGAAAGAAAAAAAGGGAGGAAAGAAAGAAAAAAGAACGAGAAAGGGGGAAGAGAAAAAGTAAGGAGGGAAGGAAAGAAAGAGAAAGAAAAGGGAGGGAGGGAAAGGAAAGGAAAAGAAATGAGAGAGGGAGAGGGAGAGAAAGGGGAGGAAAGAAAGAAAGAGAAAAGGGAGGGAGGAAAGAGAAAGAAAGAAAGAAAGAAAGAAAGAAAAAAAGAAGAAAGAGCACCAATGACCTCAGAAATAAGTCTCTCTCTGAGCGGCCAT